TGTGTGTGTGTGTGTGTGTGTGTGTGTGTGTGTGTGTGTGTGTGTGTGTGTGTGTGTGTGTGTGTGTGTGAGGGGGATAGAGAGACAGAGAAAGAGAGAAGGAGAGAGAGAGAGAGAGAGAGAGAGAGAGAGCGGTATCTTATACACATCTAGATGAGTATAAGAGACAGGGGAGAGAGAGAGAGAGAGAGAGAGAGAGAGAGAGAGAGAGATCGCAAGAAACAGAAGGAGAGAGAGTAAGAGAGGAGCAGACGGAGGATAAAAAAGGGTCGATGGCGCGGCGCGATCAGCCGAGCGCATCCTCTTGTCTCGTTGAAGTTTCCTTTCTGCCCCGAGGACTCGCCGCGGATCTTTTATCGGCAGAAATTCTGCTCACCCACATATTAGCGCGTTAAAACGCCCATAGAAACCGCTAAGCGACTAAATAAACCGATTAATCAACTTTGCATTTCGCCACGCAGAGTGCGCGGGCGCTTATTTTTTCGCGCGCCTAATTTCTTTCTTTTCGCTACCTTCTTCTCTCTAGTGATCAACGTCACGATTAATTCGAACAATATTCGTCATACGGAAGAATGTCTCCCTTTTTCTTTTGATTTATTATCTCAAAAAAAAAAAAAAAGGAAAAGGAAACGATAATTACAGGTTATTAGCGGTAATCAGATTTTTTAAACAGTGAGGAATATAACACAAGTGAAAGAAGTACGTGATTAAGTTGTTATTTAGGGTTTCAGTCGTCGAAATGCATGAGTGATCCCGAAATGGCATGGACAATAAAACGTCTCAGATTGATTGTCCAGAAAAGAAGTTCGCGCGAATCGCGCGAGCTATTATTCTTTTTCTGTCTGTCCGCTTTTCTTGTGACACGGCGATAAAGCAAGTCGTTTAGAGCAAATGAATTTATGAACACGTCCCGGCTTAGTAGCGAACCTCCAATTGCCTCCTCAATAAGCGTTAACGCAGATAAATGGCTGTAGATAACAATCTCGCGTTCCTCGCGGGTCTACGATTCTTTTTACGATCCCTCGCTATTAGCAGTTTTTGCCGAGTCCTCGTTGACGATTCAGCCTTCCCGCTAAAGATTCCCGATCTAATCTTGCTTAAGAGACTCTCAATTTTATCTTTAATTTAAATGTACGATTTGCGAGTGTTGCATGCGACGTATCACCGGCATTTCTGCGTTAATTGCGTTACAATCAATTAACTGAAAAGCCGACAAACGGATAATTGGCGTATATACTGGGCGAAAAAGATATCTAAAAAAATATTAAGTATTCTTCCGATATAAGTACTGTGTAATAACATATTTACATAAACTTAAATTCTTTTATTTAAATAAAATAAATAATTATTTTTTCGAAAGTTTTTTAAACCGCCAAGATTTTTTATATATAAAAAGCCAAGATTTTAAATAAATATATACTGCTAATACCCATCAAAAAAATATTTTTTTATTTCTGAAATATTTTTCTTCTCTGCGTAACGACCAAAGTTTGGCCCAGGCAAAAGTTCTCAGATACACATACATAATCCTGCACATTTTTATTGTTTTGTTTCTTAAATACGAATATTTAAACTTCTAACATAAAATATATATACATATGTATATATATATGTGTATATTTTTTATATTGAAAACTTATAAATATTCGTATTTAAAGACAAAAACAATAAGAATGTCTAGAATTAGGTGTCCTGACACGTTCGCTGTTAGCATCACACGTCAGTTTTACTTCCAGCTCACGTTTACTAAAAATTTCGAATTCTACTTAATTAATGTTCACTACCAATGTCACATGTATATGACAACGACACTTTTCTTTGTATATCCGCGTGCAAATGAACCCCAAGCCTGTTTTAGGTAATTACATAAGGATAAATGTAACATGTGGTTTGTGGAGAGAATGCCTCAAGTAAACCGTAGTGGCGAACATGTTGATCGTTCATGAAGCGGGATTCTCAACGACTCTCCGCCGAATTGGCCCGAGATCGTTTCACGTATGCGACGTTCTTTCGGCACACCGCGTATGTATCAGACGGAGGTGCGATAAGGAAGGGAGGAATGTTACTGCGTAAACTCGGAATCCAGGGTCGAACGCGGAGAGAACGCCACGCGGCCAACAGGACGGATGTATCGGATGTCCAGATCTCGCAGCAACCTGCCGTTGCAACCGTGCGGTGATTTTTCGTGGCACGACAGCCCCCTCGCTCCCTCCCGCTCGCGCAGTGATATTCGATAACGTCCGTGGAGGTCCTTATTATACCCAACGGGGCCCCACGAGAGAGAGAGGGACTTTTAAGGATTCCCTCCCAGCGTGGTATCCCTCCTCGCATCGGCGGCGACGGCGCCGCGTGAGAATGTCGTCGTTTTCGTCGCAAAAAAGTGGAACGAACGAGCGAACGAACGAACACGCCGACATCGTCGTGTATTTCGCCCCGCATTCGACAACGTAACGCATTCGACCGTATGTAAGAGCTTTGCCGTAACCACAGACATAAGACGTAAACTTTAGTTGAAGAACCAATCAGGATATTGCTTTAGAGTTCTTCTTGTGCCAGAAGACATATAAATCGGATCATTTTCGGAGAAACTTTGTTTCGGAACTTTCGAAAAAGTAATTATTTATTTTATTTAAATAAAAGAATTTAAGTTTATGTAAATATGTTAATACACAGTATTTATACCGGAAGAATATTTATTTTTTTAGATATCTTTTTCGCCCAATGTATACGCCAATCATCCGTTTGTTGGTTTTTCAGTTCCTCGTTAATTGATTGTAACGCAATTAACACAGAAATGCCGGTGATACGTCGTATGCAACACTCGCAAATCGTACATTTAAATTGACCTATAAGTCGGATTCTGAATAACTAGGATTTCAACTTATCATAGTTAGGTGAATCTTCGTTACTTTTGCATACGATTAGATTTATCGGCAGTTTTATTTTCTTCTACACAAAACTCTCACTCTAGCCAAGTCCTAATTGGTTTTTCAATTAAAGTTTATATCTTATGTTTATGGTAATGCGCTAAAGCCCTAACGCCATGAAGATGCGATGATCTGAAGACGAGACGTATGTCGCGAATCGCAACACCGTGAGGATGCAATGATCGGGGAAGATTAAATCTATTTTACAATGGCCGTAAAAGTACGCAGTACGACGTGAGCAGTAATTGATCAATGAGACTTTTGCGATACAAAAATAATAAATTGTGTTTGGTCAACTTGTTCACTGCTTACGGTCTTAATGCATACTTTTATGGCTATCGTAAAGTAGGCTTTAGATAATAATTCAAAGATAACCGGAAGAAGCAATATCGGAACTTAACAATTTTAAAGGACTATCAGATTTATAAGAAGATTGGAAGAATATATATAGAGTACACTATTGGATTGAGAAATTTAAGTAATCGTATTTGTCATACTCTCCGCGTGTTCGCGTTTGGAGATTAAACATTTCTCCGAGAATGATGCAACGTCTCGGTGACTTAACGATGCGAAAAAACGACGAGTAACGAAGAGACGAGGAGGAATTAGACGGTAAAGAAAGAAATAAGACGCAGAATGCGCTTTATTAAGGTGCCGGGTCCTAGCGGTTATTAATAGGATTTATTTGAGGTCGGCGAACCGCCTTATCGCGTTCGTTTGCTCGCTTTGTATGCGTCGCGCGACTGTCGGGTTAACTAATGCAACGTATTATTCCGAGGACTATGCGTATCCATCTTAACGGCACTTTCATTCAATGCGTTGCGTCGGTGCGCTATTAGACAACGCGCAGAAATTACACGCTGTACGCGACGCGATATTAGTATCGTCCACCATAATGAACGTCCTTCCGACGTGATTCAATATTTCACGCCGTTGCGCCATAATCGAGCGGCGCGTTCTTTTTTTTTCGTCGGCTATTATTTATTATCTGCGAGCGAGCGAGCGAGCGAGCGAACGAGCAAATCAATATCAATTTCAACGCGACGAAAACGTGTTCCGCAAATTCCGCAAAAAAAAAAGAAAATCACTCCCACTTTGCGATTCGCTCAATGCAATCAAGATAAATCCCGCACGTGCGAAATTTCCTTCGAGAAATTCTGTCGCCTTATAATTGATTCTAATTTCCTGTATTTCATGAAAAATAAGATTTTTCTGCAAGATAGAATGCAAGAGAGACTGTTACCACTCTATGCATTAATCAATATGTGGTCGGATTATATTATTTTGCACGAGAAAAATATCATAATTTCCTTTTTCAAATAAATTTACTTCGATTTTATTAAGTTTCTACACACGCAGAAAATTTTATAGTAAAAATTACTATAGAATTTATATTTTAAATAATTGAGGAATGAAGGATATTCTACGATAATTGATTATGTGTGCTTTCATTTCGTACGCGCTATTTATATATTTCATTACATATTTCTATATCTCAGATACTGAAATATAGAAATATGATATTAAAAAATTTGCTACGTTTCTAGCGAAATTTATTTATTTCTTAGTAAGATATACCTTACGGACGGAGTACTTCAACATTACTGAATACATAATGAAATTAAAAAGAATTTATATGAAAAAAGGTTATATTCTCTGCATATAGTAAAAAAATGCAGAATTATAAACTGTTTATAAACTGGTTAAGGAACATAATAAATTTCGCTAGAAACATGGTAAATTTTTTAATAGCACACACGCAAAAAAAAGATTAATCGCAGAAGCTAAAATGTAGCTGTAGCAACTAACAAATAAACCTACTCAAAGGTTATACTCCGATTTCTTTGGCACAAATGTAAAAATACAAAAAATATTTAGGTCATATTTATTTTGGCCCACTTTGACTTTCACGGGCAGTTTATAGCTTTTTAATATTCTCATTCCTATCAACAAGTGCAACAAAAATGCATAAGAAATAAAATTGAATACAAGATATAAGCATTTTTAGTTTACTGATTATGAATACGAAGTCAAATGTGTAAAATTATTTATAAAATAATAAAATGTTTAAACAAAACATGTAAAAAGTTGAAAAACATTATTTATACAAATAATTTTTCGGTTTGATCGAGATTCAAATCATTTTTTACTAAATTAGTACAAATTTGAAATATTTCGATTGGAATCTCGGCTAAAAGAAATTTAGAATAGTTTATGTCTCAGTTATGTTGATTTTATTAAAATTATTTAACTATATTTTGTATTCAATTTTATTTCTTATACATTTTTATTGTACTTGATGATAGGTGTGAGAACATTAAAAAGCTATAAACTGCCCGTGAAACTCAAAGTAAGCCAAAATGAAAAAATATGATCAAAATATTTTTTGTACTTCTGCATTTGTGCCAAATTAGAAAGAAATCGGAGTGTACCTTTTGGATAGATTTACTTGTAAGATGTTGTAAGTGTTCGCTCATCGACTAGATAAGCGAAATTCAATGAGAATTCTTTTTCCTAAAGAGAGATCCACTAGGCGTTAGGTGTAAAAATATCAAAGAACAAGCAACGCGAACAAATGGTATCGATGTCGCAGCTTTAAATTATGAAGTCTAATCTACAATGTGCTTTTTGCTTCCTAATTCTGTCTTTTTCTGTTTTTTTTCTGATTTCAGGTTTAAAATTGAGTTAGAAAGAGATAAAGAGGAAAAAATAGAGAGCAAAATACATATTGCATTTGTGATAGACAACTTTCAATAATGACAATGAAATGATTAGACTTTTTGTCTAAGTTCGAATCAGCGACCGAAATTTGACTGATATTGTCAAGTCATTTCTTAGCGTGTATTTAGATAGTCAGTTACTTCAGAATGTCGATCTATCTTCCTCAGTTAAAAATTTCGATGTTAACTTTTGCTATAAAATTCTCTTCGTATGGAGAAATTTGAAGAATGCCGCTAATAAGAGCACTAATAAAAATATAAACAAGTTATTGCTTCGAGATAAAAATCACACAAATAGGACAAAGCGTGGTGAAAATTTTGTTAGAGCGTTCGCTCACCTGACTTGCCGACTCTGGGGCCGCCGAGGACGACCACCTTGATCCTGTTTACGTTTGTCATCAGCTGCGTGGGTTAAGTATCATTCGGTCTGGCATCACACACACCTCCGCGGGCGCACCAATTATATCACTTTGCACTCTTTTACCGCACTCTTCTCACATCCCCAGGTCCTCTTCTCGACGGGGACACTGACCTAGTCGCGCGTAAGGGCCGGACGTGTCCTTGTCGGGCACTCGCGCGACAATCGCGACACACTCGCGCTTAACAATCGATTATCCTATCAATCACCGGCTCAAGTCATCGCCGCTCGATTTCCCGGGCGAGAGCACGGCGATTACGAATCGGTAATTAATTTCCGACGCGTTCCACCAAGTTTCGTTCTTAACAACGCGAACGCGGACGGCCACCTTTTTCGTCGTCCTTCTGCTCCTCTTCTCTCGTGATATTTAATTGTTGCAGTTTAATGGTTCAGGCGTTGATTAATCCTCTCGACGATGGGACTGCAGAGGTGCTAAGTGCTCCAATCGCGGAGCATTGGTTCGGGATCCTCTCCGCGCTGAACGAGGAGTTACGACGAGTAGCCGACGCGGAAAACGTCGCTTTGGCCGATATACGCCAACGCGAAGGTATCTCCGCCAGCGGCTCTCCTCGCGCTGCGTCTTCCACCTCGCGTCCGGCTGCTTAATCGCGATTATCAATTAATACCGCGCCACCCGACGTCGTCACCGCTTAGATACGAAGCTGTTAATCGCGCGGCAGCGTCGCGCGGACCGGAGGCGTCCGCGGCAGCTTCTTCCCTATTAATTCCCGCGCGACTTTGAAGAAAACCCTGGCGGTTGATAAATAGGCGCCTCTCCCGTCGCGCCGCGCTCCACCTCGTCGTTTTCTAGCGGGGCGAACGTAACCGCCCGGCACGACCAGCTCTCGGCTCCTCGCTCTCCTCGCGAGATCCTTAATAGCGCGATAAAGCGAGCGCGCGAGTTGTGCAAGCAAACGGGGTTCCCTTTTCCAGCGGTGACGACGCGTCGATCTTGCGACACGCTCTCGCTGCTGCTGTCAATGATTCGCTTGAAAACGCGCGCGACCGTTTCGAGCCCGATCGGGACGAGCTCTCCTTTCCCGAGGCGGTCAGGTCGTTGCCGCAATTGCGTTTCACGACTCCCAGTGATCCCCCAGGCCTGCCTCCGTCGTCGTCGGCGCTCCGAACGCAACTGTTTACGAGCGAACGCCGCTATCTTATCGCGATTTCCTGGTACTCGGAGAGTGACGAGGGAGTTCCACCTGACGCAGTCTCGTTCGTCCCCTTATCGCTTCTCCCTCCCCCCACCGACTTTGTCGTCGGAGGATCTTTGTCGAGCTGTGTTCTCGTCGGCTACTCCATATAAGTCTCGTCGACTATAGATGCGTCACGCATCTACCAAGGATCAATGACGTTGACCGATAGCGATCTTCGCGACGTTTTTGCGTATTTCAAGCACGCAGTCGATCTCGCGAATTACTCGCAGACGAGCCAACTCACGAGCAGAGCTCTTAATAATGACTCTGCGCCGCGCCGACTGACTTTCAGCAACGAGACGACTCTCGCACGTAAACATACACTCGCTCCCCGCCAAGCACGTAGGACCGTGATTACGAAAAAAGGACGCGCAATACAACTGTGTCGTAACCAAAACATCAGCCGTTACTACATACTCCAGTTCGTTGTATGTGCGTCTACCAGTGAGCGAGTGACGAGGATCTCAGCTGACTCGCGAGCTGCGTCAACACTCTTCGAACGAGTATCGATTTAACAGCGCTTTGCGCACTGCCTCTCTCTCCCTTTCTTTCTCTGTCTCTCTCTCTCTTTCTCTCTGCCTCTATCGTCCTAAAGGATCCACCTTGATCGGAAAATGGTTGTTCTTCTTTCAGCTGGTGTCTGTTGCGCCGGATGGTAGCAGCTCACGATGACGGGTCGACGGCTGATTCGTTTCTCGCGCCTCGAAAGAAGGGTGACTTTCTCGAGCGAGCGAGCGAGCGAGCTCGGCTCGTCCGTCCCGCTGCGGCCGACGCGCTGCGAATAACAACACAAGCAGCGATTCGAGAAATGCCGTCTCTCTGGTTCCATTTATAACGGGTCGTCGGCCTTCCTCCGCGTCTTCTAGCTTGGCGCCGCCGACACGTCGGCGATTACGAAAAAAGGACGGACACGCACGCGAACGCACACGCACAGGCGCGCGCCGTGCGCTGCTCGTTCTACGCACCGGACTCGCGCTTACGCTCGCTCATTCGTTCGCACACGTGTATTCGCTCGTTCGCGACGACTTGTGCTCAGACGACGAACGCGAGAAAAGTAGGATGCGTGCATCCCCTGCGGCGACAAGAGGTACGAGACCTTTGTTTCGCTGTTGCGCGAACGTCTTTCCGAGTAAGGTCGCGAAGGTCGCGGACCGATTCGCGTGAGTTTCGTAACGACGAAATTAATTGGAGGTAGAACGAAGTTAAACGGCAAGTAACCGGTCGATCAGAGCCAACCCGAGCGCAAGATATTGCTTTCTGAATTTGTATGCTGACAGTGTAAAGTGCGCGCTAAGTGCGGTCTCTCTCTCTCTCTCTCTCTCTCTCTCTCTCTCTCTCTCTCTCTCT